GCTCTGTCATGGCAACATGCAAAAAAATTTCAGCAATAAGCTTCCTCTGATGGGATACTAATCTGACATCACCACGGTTCGATTAAGGGATAACTAGATAAGGCAAAATTACACGACAGGTTTTTTTCCCCAGTGGCTGTCTCAGTAGTGCTCTTTCTGTCAAGCCCCTCCCCCTCTTTCTACTGGGCAATGGGCTTCTTTAACTACATCTCAATCCTGTTCCCCAACTTTTTAGTCACTTTTGCTTATTAAAATAGTCTCTGTTTGACTGTTAAAAATTTGGTTATAAGTATTTTAAAATGCAAATCTCAGTTGTAATTTAGAATACTCCTCATCCCTCTGGGAGATCTATATCAATATCTTCTATATCTATCTATCTACATTTATATCTATAGATAGAGAGATTGATTGATTGATTGATTGATTATAAGGTCTTGACTCCCACAATTATGGAGGCTGTGAAGTCCCACAGTGTGCTGTCTGCAAGCTGGACAGCCAGGGAAGCCAATGGTATAGTTCAAAGGCTTGAGATCTGGAGAACTGATGTATAGATGCCAGTCTGAGTTAGAAGTCCTGAGAACCAGGAATACCAAGGGCAGAAGAAGATCAATGCCCCAGCTCAAGCATTCAGACAGAGAGCAAATTCAATCTTCCTCTGCCTCTCTGTTCTAGTCAGGATTAGATGATGCTCACCCACGTTGTGGAGGGCCATCTGCTTTACTCAGTTCACCAATTCAAATACTAACCTCTTCCAGAACACCCTCACAGACACACCCATAAATAATGTTTAACTAGATATATTGGCATCCTGTGGCTTAGTTGACATAGAAAATTAACCATCATACCCTCCTTCATTGTGTTGACTTAGATGGTTTGAGAGTTTGGAGGATGGGGACACAAAAACAATTCTTTATCAGACTACCTAGTGTAAGACTGCTGTCCCTATGTGATTAATCACCACTGAAGCTCAAGTTTAATTTCTATAGAGCCTGCTGATAAGGACTCACATGCAAGAACCTCCCTTAGGTTTTGCTAGCACCTTGGAAAACTGGGCCATATCTTGCATGTCACTCCTAGTTGATGACCCTCACAAGGCATTCCTGTGATTCATAGGTCTCTTTGCCCTACTCTAATGGTTTATGGTAAGCCTATATCTCAATAAATCCCCTCCCCAGTTTCAACTCCAGTGCCTATAGGCATGGTATGATTTATTTCTCATGCCTCTCCAGAATTGAGAACTTAGGTAGGGGTTCAATCCTAGCCCTTTTCCACCTGGCCATACCACCACATCATCTCTTTAAAATGTTCTTTCCAGGATTCTGTAGCTTATAGGTAGCTCAAAATCCCAGTGGTAAAGCAGATATCCAGCAGAGGAATAAGAAGGAAATCTTACCACCTTGTAGATATCCCTAAACTTGATGTACAATTCTTTTGGGATCCCACTCTCTTGGCTTTGGGGAAGGGAACCAATCAAGTGCCACCATCTACCATAATTACAAGAGATATGGAGAGGGGATAGGTTCTTTCCACAAACACTGCACTTCCTAAAATGTGAACCTAGACTCTTCTTTCCCAGTACTACACTATCCTTCTATCATTTTGGGGTAAGAGCCACCAAACTAATTCATTCTCTCTCTGTCCTTGGGGGCACATGAGTCCCAAACTAAGATTCTTTTGTCTTTCTAACTCAGCCTTGGGAAATTTTAAATTTTGTTCTCAACAGGTTGCTACCTGTCTCCAACTCCTCAGACAACTCCAAGGCCAAGAAAAGATCTCAATCAACAACTCAAAACATGTTAGTAAAGATAACATCATTTCCAGGACATTTTTCACCTATCTTTAAAACATCATTTCATTACAACCAACCACCTATATAGCATAATATCTGATCTGGAAAAATATACAAATGTATATTTTTATCCAAGAAAATTTGGTAGTGTCAAACAAAAGACTTACTCAAGATGGGTCAAAAAGACAACAGCAAAGCATTTAGCCATTGTGAAAAATAAAAATCCTCTTGCTAAACTTTATATTCAATAGTTACATCATAGTGGTTTCCTACTTTCAAGGGATTCTTTCTAGGTAATAACTAATTTTCATAAAAGTTTTTTTGTATTGCTCTAAATACAGTCCCCTGAATGAAAAGCAACTAGTTAACCTCAGTAGTGGATGCATTCAGTCAACAGATATTCACTAATCACCCACTTTGTACAAGGAACTTTATAAGTCGTTGGGTATGCAAAGTAGAATAAAGCAGATATGTTTTGGGCCCTCATGGATTTTCTTTTCTTTTTTTTATTATATTATGTTAATCACCATACATTACATCATTAGTTTTTGATGTAGTGTTCCATGATTCATTGTTCGCGTATAACATCCAGTGCTCCATTCAATACGTGCCCTCTTTAATACCCATCACCAGGCTAACCCATCCCCCCACCCGAAAGACAAGTGGATTTAGCTAAGGAAAGAATTATGATCTGCTTACTCTTCAAATCTTGTTAGAAACCACCTAATAATGGTAAAAAAAGAGTCAACTTTTATTGAAGATTTATTAGGTTCTATGGTAAGTACTTGATATGTGTAATTTACTTCTAACAAAACCCCTGTTTCACAGAGGAAGCACAAAGACCTTGATAAGTAATTGATGCAAAGCTACATTTCAAATAAGTAGCAGGTATGATTTAAACCCAGACATGTCTGATACCACAGTTCATGCTTTCAATCAGCATCCTTTCAGCCAATGTCATTAATAGATCTGTATGAAGAGTTGTGAACTGTGAAACAGAATCCAGGAATCACTATTCCTTTAAAAGACAATTTTGGGTGTGATTATGTAATTTGAGCTTCTGAAACTTGTTAAAAAGAGAACCACAGGCCCCAAAGGGCATCACTTAGGTTAAAGCCCCAAGTCAGTAGTAAACCAAGAGTTAATACCTAATCTAACTGCAGTTTTGACCCCCTAGGAATGTAACCTTTACCCAGTCAGTCAGGAATTTTCCGGTCAGCGCCAATAAGGTAATCTGTCACATGGGCCCTCTTCATTCCTCCAAAGTAAAATCAAGAAATTCATATACTAAGACCCATTTGTCCCCAAATGAAGGTGACTTCAGGTGAAATAATCCTTTTTTTTTTTCTGTTTATGACTTCCTTGTCCTGCCCTTAAAAACCTTTCCTTTTCTATAGCCTATTAGAGCACCCCTCTACTTGCTAGATGGGATGCTTCCTGATTCATGGATCATTTAACAAGCCAATTAAATCTTCAAATTTACTTGGTTGAATTGTTTTTTTCACAAGCTATATATCAAAATACCTCCAAAGCATAAAAACCTCAAACTATGTATGCACTAGGCATATATTCTTCCTTTATTCAATGTCCCAGCTAGTTTAACAGGGTCAGAGATTACACAGGAGTTTGGAACCAAAACCAGAGGCAGTAAACATTTGTCTGGCCTGTCTTGTCTCAGCGCATATAACTCTTTTGGTTCCTTTATCACAACCAACATCTAGTAAGTATTTTTTTATATTAAATGCCACTTTCCTAAAGACATCTGTTCCCTGTGATAAAATTTGTTAAGTTACTTCAAGGTGGAGAAAGGAACATTTACTCAATTCACTCAAGGTGGATTTCAGTCTCAAGTTTAGTTGCTTCATATAACCCCTGCTTATTTTCTTTTTTTAAATTTAAATTCAATTAATTAACATATAATGTATTATTTGTTTGAGGGGTATAGGTCTGTGATTCTTATATAAGACCCAGTGCTCATTACAACACATACCCTCCCCAATGTCCATCAACCAGTTACCACATTCCCCCATCCTCCTCCCCTCCAGCAACCCTCAGTTTCAAGGGATTCCTAAGATTAACAGTCTCTTATGGTTTGTCTCCCTCTCTGGTTTCATCTTGTTTCATTTATTCCTCTCTTCCCCTATGATCCTCTGTCTTGTTTCTTAAATTCCACATTATCAGTGAGATCATAACCCCCTGCTTATTTCTAATATTTTTCTCATTTACATCAAAAGGCAGATGGCTGTGGAACTAACTTCTGCATATTGTATACTTCCGATCATTCTAAGAAGATATTTGTAGGGGTGGTTTGGAAAGTTTGTAAAGGAAAGCAGGGAGTAAAAAAGGCTCCTTTTCTCCAAAGACTATGGTATCAAAAACATCACAAATTTACATTAAATGGCCAATATCTGACAACTGGACTTCTCCCTAAAGATTTACTTTACAGATCGTTTTGAAAATACCAACTGCGTACATAAAGATGCCTCTTTTTTCAAAATAGAAATTTGAAACAAGCTAGTATGTTTCAAAAGGGATGTTAATGTGTGGAACTCAGAAAATATTTTCTGTGTTATACAGGTGAATATAATGAGTAAATGAGGCTTTTTCATCCCGCAAGATGAAGCGTTTCTTTCAAAAGTGAAATCTCGCAATTGTTAATTTTTCGAGGCATGCTGATTTAAAAAAAAAAAAAGGAAATAAAAGAGAAATTCTTTGGAAGAATTCACTGTCTCCTGGCCTCTTTCTGACAAGTCCCCTGCTCCCACCCCACCCCAGCCCTCATTCTAAATTTCCTGGGGATCTGAATTCAGGGGACGCAGTGGCAATGGTGGCGGTGTACTTGAGGGTGGGTGGGGGAAAGAGGGGGTGCGGCCAGCGAGAAGGGGAGAGAAAGCAGAACAGGCCAAACTCAAGGCCCGGGGCGGGAGTGGGAGGGGTGGAGGGTGTTGCAGACCCTCCCGGGTAACCAGAGAAGGGTAAACTCCAGCCGCAGGGAGGTGAGGCACTAGTCGTCGGCCCTCAAATTGGAGAGGACCAAGCTGAGTGACAGGGCGGTGCGCGCGGGGGTTCAGCGCAGAAACAGGCGGAGGGGGTTGCCTGCGCTTGTGCGTGAGGCGAGGGGTGGAGGCGGGCACTCCCGCCGCACAAGCCGCTGGAGTTGGGGGGCGAGCGCGTTGGTGACGCGGGGCCCTCACGTGACCTGGAGCTGCAGAGCGACGCAGCCTTCGGTGCAGTCGTCACTCCCGTCTGGGTACCGGCTCCCCGCGGTCCTGCGCCGGGCGGGCTGGCATCGGGCCCGAGGAAAGCGGAGCAGGTAAGGGCTCCGGGGCCCGCGCGACGAGGCCAGGTAGGCAGCTGTCGGCCTACCCCGGAGGCCGGCGCAGGGGATCGGCGCAGCGGGTCCCGGCCAGCTTTCTCCACACCCAGCATTCTTGGGCACATCAGTAGTGGCCCCCTGGGGTGGGGGTGCTGGGGCGGCCGTTGGGGGGGCAGCTAAGAGCGACTGGAAGTCACCCCCAAGTTCCTACAGGAAAATGGTGAACCTCCGGGGCAGGATGGGGGCGCTAGGGGTGAGGGCGGGAATGCAGATGGGGGCGGCCAGGGGGGGCCGGGACCCGGAAGGGACCAGGTGGTGGCCGGTCGGCGTCAAGCGCTTCGCAACAGTCTCCGCTCCCTCCACGCCGGCCCTCTGCAGGTTTGCGGGTGTAGGTGTCAAGTGTCGTGGCGGCGCACTCACGGCGAGAATCGGGAGGAGGAGACAGCAAGGATAGGCCCAGGTCTGTGCGGGGGATAGTGGGGGGGCGGGTGCAGAGCCCAGTTTGAGACCCCCCCCTCCCATCAACCTCATCCACCCCATTCCCCTGCCCCCCAGTCCTCCATTTTGGTGCTTGCAGAGCTCGGGGAAAGAATCCTGGGAAAGGAAAAATGGTGGGCTTCAGGGGAGGGAGGGAAAAGGAGAGAGCTGGAGGGAGGGGCTCGATTCGGAGGCCCCCTAGAGGACGCCTGAAGCTCCTAAGGTGGGAAAAAAAATAAAATTTACAAAACCTTAGATAGCAGAGCTCTGAATCCTGCTGATCAGTGCACCAAGCATTCAGTCTCTCTCCTTGCCTTTGTCTTACTTGTGTTCAAAGAAAAACAACCAGGAAAAAAAAAATCTCATGGCAAATATCCACCAGGAAAACGAAGAAATGGAGCAGCCCATGCAGAATGGAGAGGAAGACCGCCCTTTGGGAGGGGGAGAAGGCCACCAACCTGCAGGAAATAATAGACGGGGACAGGCTCGCCGACTTGCTCCAAATTTCCGATGGGCCATACCCAATAGGCAGGTCAATGATGGGATGGGTGGAGATGGAGATGATATGGAAATGTTCATGGAGGAGATGAGAGAAATCAGGAGAAAACTTAGGGAGCTGCAGTTGAGGAATTGTCTGCGTATCCTGATGGGGGAGCTCTCTAATCACCATGACCATCATGACGAATTTTGCCTTATGCCTTGACTCCTGCCATTTTCCATGAGATTAATACTGTGATTCAACACTGTTTTCTTTTTCCTTGCATTTTCCTGATATACCTTTATTGATTCGTTTGCTGTGAACCTTATGTAATTTCCATGTGTCAGGTGGGTTCTGTGTTACCAGATTCCAGTTGAAGATTGCCTTGGCACCCAGTCTAAGTTTCTGTCAACAGTAGAGTCATCCAGTTGCATGAAAAAGTGTAAAGTTAATAAAGCAATTAAAAAGCAATCTATACATTTATTATTGTCTCATTTAAAAGCATATGTATATGTTATATGACCCCCCCCAAATCAGAAATAAGATGTCTCAGGGTGTTAATTCGGTACCATTTCTCTGTAGTTGGATAATATGTGACTTTTTCCCTCTTATTATCGAGTTTTAGAAGCAAAAACAATTTTTCAAGGAGTCCGAATATAGTACAGGTATATAATACTGGTTCAACAAACTTTAAGAGTGAACTTTAAGAACTTTCCAGTTTTAAGTGGAAGAATAAACCCTTTATTACAGATACATTCATTTTATTTATTTTTATTTTGTTTTTTAAAGATTTTATTTATTTTTACAGAGAGAGAGAACAAGCAGGGGGAGCAGCAGAGGGAGAGGGAGAAGTAGGCTCCCCGCTGAGCAGGGAACCCGATGCTGGACTCCATCCCAGAAACCTGGGATCATGACCTGAGTTGAAGGCAGACGCTTAACCAACTAAGCTACCCAGGCGCCCCTAGATACATTCCTTTTAAAAGTCAATTTTCTTGGATTGCCTGGGTGGTTCTGTCGTTAAGCGTCTTCCTTCGGCTCAGGTCCATCCCAGGGTCCTGGGATCAAGCCCTGCATTGGGCTCCCTGCTCAGCGGGAAGCCTGCTTCTCCCTCTCCCACTCCCCCTGCTTGTGTTCTCTCTCTCGCTGTGTCTCTGTCAAATAAATAAATAAAAAATCTTTTTAAAAAAGTCAATTTTCTTTTCTGTGAAATGGGGAATAATGCTTGCCTTACAGGGCAGCTGAGTGGAATAGATGAGGTATGGAACTGTGTTGGGCTGCCTACTATGCAACTCCATCAGGTACTTGGGAAGTACTAAAGGGAGTTTTCACCTATGCTCACATTTTTTCCAAAGGGCAAAAATAGTTGGTTTCCACCTTGTCATTTCTCTGATATTTGCAGTACTTCTCCCCTGATCTAGTACCATGTCAGTTAGGCATACTTAACCTTCTTCTGGGTTCTGATTCTGTTTTCATTGCCGATGTGAGTCCTCAAGGTAACAAAAACCCACTGATTTCTCTTGAGTCCCTGGTGAGCTAAACCCTGCTCCTTTGACTCCTATATCTGGAGAATGTCTTTCTCCCCCCTTTAAAGATATTTATCCAAGTGAGTACCACTCCCGTGGTTCTTGGTCTTTTGTTGGTTCTAACAAAATAGCCCTTTTTGGTATTATTTTTGTGCTCCTCTTCAGAGAATTCAGACTTCAATGCACTGGGGCCTAGCTCAGGAGATATATCTAGATGTCTCACCATGGTGTGTCTAGAATTACACTACTTCAAACCTCCCAAAGACAAACAGGCTGAAAGCTTTGTTTTGCCTGTGTTTTTACCCTTTGGGGGGATTTTCTCAAAAGAGAGTCTGGGCAGGCTTACCCAACCAGTTTAACAGACTTACCTAGAAGATGTCCAAATTACATTAGGGGGATACATTTTAAAGCTGAAACACTCCCATTTTTATCCCTTCCACACCTGAAACATGAAATTGCTTTGTAAGTTCTTAAAAACTATATTATATGTTAAAAAAAAGAAAAAGAAGATAGCAGGAAGGGAAAAATGAAGGGGGGGAATCGGAGGAGACTATGGACTCTGAGAAACAAACTGAGGGTTCTAGAGGGGAGGGGGGAGGGGGGATGGGTTAGCCTGGTGATGGGTATTAAAGAGGGCAAGTACTGCATGGAGCACTGGGTGTTATACGCAAACAATGAATCATGGAACACTACATCAAAAACTAATGATGTATGGTGATTAACAACATAAAAAAAATATTTGGCATTAAAATTTTTATGAGTGCATGCCCTTCTTATGACAATAATTTGTCTTAATCATCTTGGAGCTCAGTTTCTAGTATAGTGCCTGACATAGCAGATACGTAATTACTCATTTTGATTGGTTACTATAATGGAGTTAGGAGCCCACCTTAATATTGTTCCTAATTGACTGTCCTTAATCAAGTATACTAAGGCAAATAACTACTTGGAAAGTATTACTTTTACTTTCCAGAGGAAATGGCAAGAAAAGTCTCTAACCCAAAATCTTTAATTTCTTCTTTTTTTAAAAAGATTTTATTTATTTATTTTAGAGAGAACAAGCCAGGAGGAGAGGCAGAAGGGGAGGGAGAGAATCTCAGGCAGACTCCACACTTAGCATGGAACCTGATGCAGGGCTTGATCTCATGACCATGAGATCATGACCTGAGCTGAAACCAAGAGTTGGTCACTGAACTGACTGAGCCACCTAGGCACCCCCGAGATCTGTAATTTCTTTTAAAAACCTTTTATATGCCAGCATTTATGTAAACACAGACCTCTTACTTGCATCATAATTACCTAGGAAAAATGTTAAAAATGCTGACACTTCGGTGCTCTTCCCACTTTCAACCCCCGTTATCACCTCATGAATCACCTGATCAGGAACTACTGTTTTGACAGTTCCTCAGGTGATTCTGATGCATCTGAGTTATGACAACATAGGCATAGAGAAACACTAGCAGTGATTACAGCATTTTACAGTGTGATCTAAATTACCTTGCTTATTTGATAATACAATGAATATACCTTTCCAAAATACAATATTTCCAAAATTAGATTGCATTAAACAATCAATATATATCTGTAAACTAGTACTTTTTATTTTTCAAAATATCATATTAAATTAATGCATTATCATGAATCTCTTATTAACAAGTATATAATAATTATGTTATTAAATAAGCTAAGCATTATCATTTCTTTTTTTTAAAGATTTTATTTATTTGACAGAGACACAGCGAGAGAGGGAACACAAGCAGAGGGAGAGGGAGAAGCAGGCTTCTTGTCGAGCAGGGAGTTTGATGTGGGGCTCGATGTGGGGCTCGATCCCAGGATCCTGGGACCATGACATGAGCCAAAGGCAGACACTTAATGACGGAGCCACCCAGGTGCCCCAGCATTATCATTTCTATGCAAGCCTATGCCCTTTTATACCAATGATTTTGTTTTAATCACCCTGGAGCTCAGTTGTTAGTATAGTGCTTGATATAGTAAATATTTATTTTATTTATTATTTTTTAAAAGATTTTATTTATTTGAGAGCGAGAGAGAGAGCATGTGAGCACGAGCGGTGGGGGGAGGGGCAGGGGGAGAGGGAGAAGCAGATTCCCCGCTGAGCAAGGAGTCCCATGCAGGGCTCCATCCCAGGACCCCAGGATCATGACCTGAGCTGAAGGCAGATGCTTAACCAACTGAGCCACCCAGGTGCCCCACAGCTTCTATCAATTTTATAGATTAGGAAATATCTCACAGCGAGTAAGTGACGAGGCCAGGATTTGAATGCAGTAGCTAAGGGTCTA